CCCATCCGTGCGACAGCAAAAGCTGCCGCGTGGCTCCACCACTGTTAAAAATTTCAAGTATCAACTCAAATTTTATCATAATGTTAACATACATGTAACACAGGATAACGCATGGTAACGCATACAGCGTCCGTTATAATGATGTTTGTATTGAAACTCGATATTGCCTCTGAAGTCTGAACTCTGTAATCGCTGCGTTCTAACGCATTCACATTCTCTAGAATACACTATCCTTTTTTTACGCATTGCTATAGCATACCTCGCGGGGGCAAGCACGGATTACGTCGGACTTGCAATAACTAAAATCCCATGGTATTCAACATATTGGCAGGGCCACAGGAACGCTTTTGCACACATGCGCAGCCCCAACAACACCGGCCGCTAAATGGCAGCCCCTACTCCTTCCCATCTCCTACTCAGGTAAGGCGCACCAGAACACATGACGCGCTTTCCCCGCGGCCTCCAACTTCACCTGCGCAACGGATACCTCCGTGTCCGTGATGGCCACGGGGTCAGGAACAACGAGCACTCAGAATCACTAGCCTTTTCGACCCCACCGGCGAATCTGGAAGGTAGTCTCTCCCCCCGCAGGCCCTCCACCACCACATTAACGGTACAGCCTCGCCAGAGTCGCATAGGATAGAAGCCCACTCGGAGTGGCCACCTCGGGCCAGCCATTTGGGTTCCTCTTTGTTCATCATAAGTAACTAAGCCACCATAGTAAGCACCTTAGCCATTACAACACGGGAACAGCGTGGCAATTATGGCAAATATCCCCCCCCCCCTGTGAGGCAATCTAGGGCTTAGACCAATATCCACTCAATGGCATGGCTTTTAAACACCAGCCTAAGATTGAATGCCTGGTTACCAGCGGAAAAGACAGTTCGTGTTACTTACCATACGAAGAAGCATTTGCTACTCTTTAGCCCCCAACGAAAACAGAGAGGTGTTATATGTTTGTAGTATGATCTGTGTGTGTGTGTGTGTATTGATATGTGTATCTGTGTGTCTGTCTATGTTATCACAGCCCCTGAACTGATGAATCGATTTTGATTAAGATTTTTTGTTTGAATGGTGCCTTAATCGAGAATGTTCTTAGCTATGTTTCAAGCAAATCTGCTCCATGGCCATTAGCTGTTTTTGTTTCTGGTGTTTTGAAGATTTTTAATTTGTTATTTACTATATGTATTCTGTGAGAATGTGATTTTCCTCGGTTCACCAAACCCATTCGCGCTGCAGTCATGTTACGGCTGAGTAGCAGCAACGAAATGTTCAACACACAGCAGTCAGCCGCAGTAGCTACTTTCGCGGGCAGCCATCATGTAACAATACCGCTACACTTTAAAGACACCGCCATCAAAAATGGTGTTGCCAGATTTTAAAATATTACTGGATTATAAGCAAAATGTACCGTGTAGTGACAATGTGAGGTTATCCATTACCCCATATCATCCCGTGGGTGTCGTATGAGGTGACAGAGGGAAACAAATCAGGAGATGAGCAGCGGCGTCTTCTTAATTACTACCAAATATTAAAAACTGTGGTTGCCATCCCGCTTGCTAAGCGTGGCAACTATGGCAAATATCCCCCCTATGAGGCACTCTATGGGGAAGGCCTATGTTCAACAATGGACTTTAATAGATCAGGCACAGTTAGTATACACTGAAATCGTGTCGTAGCCGTATCGTAAAATTTAAAGGATACTTATATGGTATAGCTACATCGAAACATAAGCGTTATAAGGTTAGTTAAACTAGTTACCGTACCGGATCTATTAGTTGTCTATCTCAGCGTGATAGCTAGGAAATTGACAACACATTTTATGAGCTCCTATATTTAATCAAGTAAGTTACTTCATAACGAACTTTTATCCAGTCTCATACTATTTGTTCTAAAAACGGAGCGTCTTGTATTAATTAATATAAAGTTGAGCTCAAGTAGGTTTTTATGTCTCATTGTTTTCTTTATTTTACCAATGTAGCCTCCTATAAGGGGGCGGTATTTTGTGAAGGAAATGTAATCTCCCGTCATCACATACGATATGATATTGATGCAGTCACGATTAATGTGGTAACATTAATATCATCATCATAATATCCTAAGTCCTCTGGTAAATATAGGCATCCTCATAGATTATCTCATGCGGGGGTTTGTGGGGAATATTTGCCATAGATGCCATACTTGGCAACCGCAGTCTTTTATTTTCTTGTTGTTATTAGGGAGACGCTACTAACCATTTCCAGATTTGTTTCCCTCCGTCACCTTTAACACCACGGAATGATATGGGGTAGTGGATATTCTTACACCGCTCCTACACACTACATCAATATCATCATCATCATCATAACAGTCCTTTAAGAGTTTAATATTGAACATAGCCCTACCCAAGGAATGCTACAAACCACGGTCCTGGGCCACCTGCATGTCTTACCAGGTCATCACTCCATCTAGTGGGTGGATCGTCCTACATTTCGCCTGCCGGTACGAGGTACCTTGGACAAGCCAATTAGGTTTTAAGCCACACCAGGTGGCTCAGGACTGTGCTTTGTAGCATTTTTGGCCTATGTTCAGCAGTGGACTTGTGAAGGGCTGTAATGATGATGATGATTGATGAAATGAGCTCGCGGACTGACAATTCTCAAAGACTTATAAAGAGTGGTATTCAAAAAAGATATCTTTTCGATTTTGAAAATAATGCAATCTACATCAAATGATTCACATGCCAAGTCCGTACAAAAATAGTCATAGCTCACTATTAATCTATTAGTTCCCCGAGGAACCCTAAGATATATACATGAACGTAACGAGCCTTCGAGGTTATATGGCCGGTCCATTGACACATCAGCCAACTACACCCTCTGTGACAAACTATTGCATAGAGCCTCTTTTGTTCTAGATCTTGGTGTTATTTTGGACCAAAAACTTCACTTCGATTTACATCTAGAAAAAATTATAAGTAAAGCATATCAACTTTATGGTCTTGTCATGAGATCATCAAAACAATTCAAAAAGCCTTCAACATATTTGTATTTGCTTAAGACCTTGATTCAGCCGCAATTAGAGTACTTATGCATGTGTCATATGGGACCCCTACTATGCAAAATATACTTAGTGAAGCCATAGAAAGAGTTCAAAGCAAGTTTTTACGCACCATGCATTATCGTCTTAAATATTTTACCCTTTAATATGACAAACTTCGTGTTAAATATAACTTAGTCACAATGAGATCGAGACGTTTATTATTGCAGACTATGTTTTTGTTTAATATTTGTCATAATAAATTTGATTGCCCAGCGCTTTTAAACCAGATAGGATTGATAGTACCTCGCCATAATAACTTACGTAGTGTACGCCGACGATGTGTGTTCGCCATTAGTGCTTGCCGTACTAATGCCGGCAAACGCATAGGGTGGACGTACCATTCCCAAACCAGTAACCTGTAGTTGACCATTTGCGTCTAAAGGTCAATATTTTAAGAATTCGCGCCAATATCTTCAGGTTTTTTAAGTCTGTGTTACTGTATCATATCTTTGAGAATCTAATGCTGTGTAATTGAGGTAAATGAAATAAAAAATATAGCTTTCTTTTTCATTTTTGTCGCCACGTATCTCGTTCACTCGCCGTTCGGCCGCCATTGCTGTTAGGAGCGTTCAATGAAAGGTAAAGTTAAATTGATTTTAATCGTAATATTTTTGAAATAAATTGCAAATATTTTATGAAATTTAGCTAATATATTAATCAGTGTAATGATAGCAGATATAAATTTGAACCAAATTTTATATTTTAATAGGTTTCTGAGACCGGTTAACTACTGGAACGCATGTTGTATAGGGTGCCTATAGTTGACCATGTGGTTAACTACTGGTTATTTCTTTAATTTAATAGGGTGCCTATCATTGACCATATGGTTTACTACTAGTTATTTCTTTAATTTTCTTTATTTGTCATTATTAATGATCTTTCAGCAATTCCTTTTCATTATATTGATGCACAATTCAAAATTAACGATTTTTATTAACATATTCAAGTAGTTGACCAGTGGTTTGGGATTGGTACATTAATAGTGTTCGTGGAGTTGACCAGACATTTTTATATTCTAAGTGTCCTACTAAAATTGACATTGTCAACATACAGGGTGTCAAGTAAATAATGGATAAGCTTGAAATGGGTGATAAGAGCTTATGACCGCTCCAAAAAAATTACAAGAAAATTCTATTCTTATTAAGTAAGTACGTAGTTTTCGAGTTATAAAAAAATATTACTTTAATTACCTTACCTTACCTTAATTACTTTGCTTTAAATTTTTTTACACAACGGGCACAAATTAATGAATTTTTTGCGCTTAAATTATTTTGCAATACATTTGCTAATAAATAGACAACTGATAATACGGTTATCAGTTGCATGTTTCGTTTAAAAAAAATTGTTTTTCTGTGAAAAAATTGCAAGCTTTAGATTTTTTCCTATTTTTCACCTTCTAGGGTGTAAAAAAGTATGACCTAAGTAGCCAATTATTTTAAAAATATAAATAGTATTCATACGTGTTTTACACCGCTTGAAGCTTAAACATAGGAGTAAAAACTAAAGTTTGCTAACTTTCCGCAGTAAAAACAAATTCAAACATTTATAAAAAGAAAACTTACAACTTTTAGCCGTATTGGGTTCCTATTTATTAGCACAGTTATTTAAAAGTATTTTAAGAGTGAAAAGCCGGCGCAATGCATTAATTTGTGCTTGCTGTGTTAAAAATGTAAAGCAATGTATTTTTTGAAGTCCCGCATACCTCGAAAACTAATTAGAATAGTTATTTTTTTTCGTTTTTTTTTGGAGCGGTCAAACCAAAGGATAACTCATAAGCTCTATTATCACCCATTTCAGGCTTATCCTTATTTACCTGTATTCAGCGTACAGCCTCAAAATTTCATGCTTACTTTTTCTATGGAAGATTTTATTTCAGTGTACTTAACTTCAAATATTGTTTACTGTGTTGTAGCCACGAAATGCCACCCAAGAAGATATTCTTCAAGTATAACCAAGAAGATGTTTACAAAGCAATTGAAGAAATTCAAGTGACTGGAAAAATTAGGGAAACCTGTCGGAAATATAATATTCCTCACTCGACAATAATAAATAAACTAAAAATGAGGCACCCATTACAAAGAAAAATGGGGCCCCCAACAATATTAACGCCTCAAGAAGAAAAACTTCTTTGCAAATGGATAAACGCTTCCGCAAAAAAGGGATTCCCTCTAAAAAAAGAACAGTTATTAGACGCGGTGCAAAATATCATTAAAAGCGACAATCGTCCGAACCCTTTTAAAGGTAAGCCTCCAGGCCGAAAGTGGTTTAGTGGATTTCTAAAAAGGAATCCAGACATAGCTCAACGACACGCTGAATCCATTAACTCTGTCCGTAGCCGTGTAACCGAAGAAGGATTGAGAAGGTGGCATTCGGAATTGAAGGAATTTCTCATATCGCAAGATGTCCAAGACATCCTTGAAGATCCTGACAGAATTTTAAATTGCGACGAGTCTGGTTTCCATATTACTCCAGATTCAGGATTGGTATTAGGTCCCAGGGGAATGACAAATTTCTTTGAAATTAGAGACAAGGAAAAGGAAAGCATAACCGTCTTAGGCACATTTTCTGCATCAGGAAAGTTAAAGCTTGTTCTAGTGATTTACCCTTATGATCGAGTGCCCTCCGAAATCACTAGAAATTTTCCTGAAAATTGGTGCATTGGAAAGTCTCCAAAAGGATGGATGACTTCTCGAGTTTTTTACGGATATATCGGCAATTCATTAATACCAGCTTTGCATGAAGCAAATATTAAATTTCCTGTCCTTTTGCTAGTTGACGGTCATAGATCCCATATATCATATGAGGTGAGTCAGTTGTGCAACGATAACAAAATAATTTTATATGCGTTGCACCCCAATGCAACACACATAATACAACCAGCAGATGTTTCTGTTTTTAGGCCGCTCAAACATGCATGGAAAAGTAATGTACAGAAATGGAAATTGTCAACAGGGAATAGAGTAGTGACAAGAGCCCAGTTTGCATCACTCCTGAAGTCGTCTCTTAATGCAGCTACTAATGAAGTCATTAGTAACGGATTTCGCAAATGTGGCTTATTTCCGTTCGATGCAGATGCCATTGATTACACAAAATGTATGAGCGATCCTAGCAGACATGATGTTGTTGATAAACCGGCAGAGTTGGGCATAGAACATTTGTTATACTTTGAATCACTAATGTCCCGAAAACGGGTTGCAGAGTTTCGGGCTATGAAAGAAGGCCAGCCATGGGTGGGTGAGGAATCAGCCAAAGAACTTTATGACGTCTGGTGCAAAGTGTATAAAACAGTTACTTTATCGGAAACACTTCAAAGTATGGAAAAAACATCAAATTCCACAGTGCATGACTTAAATAATGCAGAACTAAGAAACAGCGAAACAGATCCGAGATCCCCACTATCAGAAACTGGACCGATCATATTGGATTCGATGTTAACGAGTCACCATACAAAAGATTCGGTTGCTGTAAACCACATGGTTGCTAAAACCACATATGATGCAGGAATCCCAGATTCAAGAACACTATCAACTTCAACATTGGTAAATTACCCCATGGACCAAGATCTGCTGCATATATCACCGAGTTCCTCGTTTCTGAATTTTCTTGAGACTAGTACTAGAAACTCTGTTTACATGACTCCTTATAATTGCACCCCTGCCGATTTGAGTCCTGAGCCACTTGCATCAGGAACTGTTCCTGAAACAGGAGTAACGGATTTGCTTCAACGACGAGGAATACGTCCTTCAACTCCTATGAATTTACCAAACTACTTCCTTCAAAAAGTTTTAGAAACAACTCCTTTGAAAAGGCAAGCTATAATTACGAAAGGTTTAATGCCTGAAACATCAAAAAGCAAAAATTCAAGAGAACACTTTGTGGTTATGTCAGAATTATTTACAGATCAAGATATCTTGTTTCCATCTACACCCCAGCAGAGTTGTCCGTCAAAAGTTCGTAATGATGAAGGGGCGACAGCTATTGCTGAAAAGAGTTTCAATTCAATCGCCGCGTCATCCTTAAAACCTACAAGTTCAGAAGAACCTCCAGCCCATTTTAGTCAGAATCCACTAATTAATGAGTCATACAACCAAGAACAACAAACAATACCCAAGATTCGCACAAAGCGTGGAATGCCTATAAGTCCTGCATTTGCATCTGCTCTGATATGGCCAACAGACTCGCCACTCAAAAAGGGTGGGAAAACTAAAACTCGGAAACAAAGATTTCCAGATGCTATAACTTCACCAATGTGGAACGAATATTGGACAGAAAAAGAAAAAGAAAAAGAAGAAAAGGAAAAGCGAAAACTTGCGCGCGAGGAAAAAATAAGGAATAAAGAGAATATTGAAATAAGTAAAGTAAAGACTAAAGCTCTTGTTACAAAGCGGACTAAAAAGAGAGTTAAACCTTCAATAGAGTACAGTTCTGAAGAGGAAAACACAGTTGTAACCGAAAAACGGTTTAGAAAACGAATTCTGGCTAGACTAGAATCTGATTCCGAAGGGGATGATATTCCTTTGGTTACCTACAAAAGTTCATCTGAAACAGTGGATAGTGCCGGAGTGGGGTCATATGTGATTATAAAATATGAAGGTGAATATTTTCCAGGTATCGTCAAAAATATAAGAGGCGATAGCAAAGAAGTTAGTACCATGGTACTTGCTTCACCCACCACTTTTAAATGGCCTGAAAAAGAAGACAAACTTTGGTATGATAAGGAAGATATCATCGAAACTATTAAAACTCCTATTCCCATGAATACGCGAGGCTCTTTTAAAGTCGAAGAGATGGCCAAATATCTTCTGTGGGTATAGAAAGCTACAACATCAAAAATTACAATCGAAGAAGACTGTAGGTAGTTAAGTTTAAGTTTGAAGATGAATAGGTTAATCGTCATAATTTAAGCCAAAATGTGCAAAGATACTGTTGCTGTGATGTGTCAATGACTTTTAAAAGTGCCAAGATTTTATCTTGACAATAAAGTCAAGTTTTTATTGTCAATTTTTGTCATATTATAGTTGTTTCGTTTCAATAAATGGTTAATAGAAGAGTAGTTTAATAAGTATAGAAAATATTAATATAAGCTGCACATGCCAAAGTATACTGTGATGTGGATCTCAATGACCTAGGTACAAAAGTTAGACCTCAATAAACGTTGATTGTGAAATTTAATAAATGCTGTTTTATTTTATCCACCCTGTATGTGTTAATACGTTGGTCAATTACTGGCTCAATCTTGGTCAATAACTAGCTACTGTTGGTCTAACTAAGGAACAGTTCATCTTTTAGGATTTATGCCATAATTACAGAAATTCCTAGATACTTATGCTGCTATGATTTATGGTCCTCATTTTGTCTATAAATAAACTTGAAAAATAACATAGAACTAAGGTCTTCCGTTCAAATCTGTTAAAATGACAGCTAATTAAAGTCAAAATATCTCCTTAAATGGTTTGGGAATGGTACGTTCACCCTATTTTTATTTTGTAAAACTATTAAATTCTTCGAAAAAGAACTTGTTACTTCACTTAACAACTTACCGTGTAGAGGTGGTGTAAGAATATCCACTACCCTATATCATCCCGTGGGTATCGTAAAAGGAGACAGAGGGACAAATCAGATGGGCAGCAGCGTCTTCCTAATAACGACTAAAAATAAAAAACTGCGGTTGCCAAACCGCTTGTCAAGCGTGGCAACTATGGCAGATCCCTCCTACGAGGCAATCTGGGGGAAGCCTATGTTCAGCAGTGGACTTTAATAAGCTGTAACGGTAACGGTAAAAAAAAAACTTGTGACTTCATTACATAGAGAAAACCTATATACGAAAGTTTCGTTGCAAAAATTCGACTGGCAACATTGTTTGACTTTCACACAATACTTGAGACTGGCGAATTCCATTGGTAGTTTGCAAACAAGACGGCGAGAGAGAAAATGGTAATGAAACCACGACAGAGGGAACTGAAACAAGAGATGGACAGCAGCATTTTTGTGATAACAACTCAATATAATATAATATTGAGGTTAACCCTATGAGGGAGGCCTATGTTTAGCAGTGGACTTTTAATTAATGAAAAACAAAGGAAAATACATAGTGAAGATATTTCTTCTTTGTTTTTGGAAGAAAAGGAAACAGAATTTTGTACGTGGCAATTTTTTTTATCGGTGCCGGCGAGGACCGTACTCGGGTGATTGCTTGCGTACTGCGTAATTTAGGCTGGGCGGCAAGCACTTAGCCCCCGAACTCCGACACCGCTCAAAAACAAATCTACACTACAGAAATTTAAAAAAAAATAGGTATATATTTGATTTGAATAAACTTATTGTCATTATTAATGTACCTTTTGGTATTTTGGTTACATATTTATAATCTAATCTTACTTTGACTCTCTCGTTCGTTACCGGAATTAACCAGACAAATCGCTCCACCAACTAAGAACGGCCATGCACCACCACCCACCGAATCAAGAAAGAGCTGTTAATCTGTCAATCCTTCCGGTGTCCGGGCCTGGTGAGATTTATCTAATCGAATTATCTCAGAAATTTGGAATTGAAATCAGCCGAATGTACCTAATTACGCAAAAAGTATCCAACCCAAACCAAGATAATTCTTAGGGTCGGTACTTTTATATCGTAAAAACAACTCCAACACTAGTGTCAGTCGACAACAAGCGAAATTACAACCAAATCTAAATGAACCAAATTCACTAAATATCAATCCAAACCTCAAACGGTAACATCGGATAGTGAGTGCCTGTGTTTATTGGTTGAATCCACTATGAGGAAGGACTTCTTTTCCACCTACGCGATGAGGCATTCCATCTTATTTCTCAGAGGTGACGACATATCTACATGACTACCTTCTTTACTGAAGTTGTTTGCCGGTAACCACATGCAAGGTGGACTGTTAAGCTTGTTTTGTTATTTCAATTTTATATTAAAAAAAAATTGTGTAACTAAGGATAGACTGGTCCAACGTACACAACGTATGCGATGCAACGCACGTTGAAGAACACATAGCTGATGTGAAGAATCGACGCTGCCCGATGTTTCGAGTCCTTTCTTTACTTTGCATTACATAGGACAAAAAAGATCAATTAAAACCCGCGTAAAATAACACAACTGATGTGAAGAATCGACGCTTCGGGAAGTCTGCAGTCTGTGAACACGTACAGGATTGCCCCCGTCACTACATTAGATTTGATAGACCAGAAATCCTCGCTAAAGAACACCGATTCCTTCCAAGGATGATTCGCGAGGCTATTGGAATCAAAAAACACCCTAATTTCAATAGAGAAGATGGCTGGGTGCTACAATCTGCTTGGGATACCATAATTAATAAAATTAAATCCCAACCCAAGCATACAACTGCAAGACTTCATGATACTGTAAGTTCATACTGCGTAGATCGGAACAAAAAGTAATAATTTTTAATCTGGAGGTAGTCATGGTTAACTATGGCATTAGGACGTCAAACATCTAAGCCCCCCCCCCCCCCCTGACCAAGGTTGCTGTAAATTGCTCGAAACGTCGGGAATATAAAATAAGTTAATATTCGCGATAAAATCCGTAAAAACTAGTTTTATTTAAATACCAAACATTAGTTATAGAACTGGAAAATGATGACGAACGATTTTTTTTTGTACTTTCATATATCAAATGATAGCAGTAGGTGGTTCGGTACTCACTACATAGTAATTTTGCTATCTCTTCCCTTACTGCATTAAGTAATGTATCACCGCGATAATAAACACATTTAATATTATATATGGCCACTTGACGTATGGCCTTACTAAATCGATGAGCTGTTCATCTCCCATTTTGACAACTAAACCGTGTACGGTACAAGGGTCTATTTGTTTATGACGTGCTATGTTCTAGGAACACACTGGTCGTACGCGTGGAATTGCGCACGGTCATCCCCTCCACCTTTCCACGTCGATCTGGACATCGCAGATCGACGTTGCGAATTCATAGTTTTTCGCACAAAATCAAGTGTCCAAATGTCATAACGCGTTGCATACATTGCATACTTGGCACCAGTCTATCTCTACCTTTATACTTTGGTATTCGTAATAAAATAGACAGGCACATATGCGACACCAATGTCTATGCTAACCTGCCAGACTCCTTGCCAAAAAGTTGATTATTTATTTTAAAAAAAATAGACGCAAAATTTCTGAAATATTATATTTGACTTATTTTGTAAATTAACATAAATTACAATATATATAACATAACATAATAATTTATAAATTTAAAACTAGAATGGTCTGTTTATTTAATTTACATAAGTTTTTGCTAATAAATTAAAGTTTCGCCTAAATACATACATTCCACCGCTGGGAGCAGGTCTCTTATTGCTGACAGGGTTATAAGATTATATAGAGCAAATAAATCGCCGCGCTGCTTCAGTGCGTATTGGCGGACTTCACATGTCCTCCAAAATTTTTATTCCCAAGACACAACGGTTTCCTCACGATATGTGACTTCACTGCAGAACACGTGGTAAATCAGCACTTAAAATTGCATAAGCGCCGGCGGGTATCGTACCTGGGTTTACGTCGTACGTTTACGTACGTTTAATCGTACCTGAGGTTACGGCGAACGCTTAGTTATTATTAGCATAAAAATTTGTAACATAATATAAATATTTAAATAATAATATATGTTGTTATATAATATAAATATATACATTTTATGAATATTATATTTATTTAATACATCCTTTTCCATACATCACATATGGCTTATTTCATCGTTCAAATAAATGAAATTCAATAAAATAAAATAAAAATTGAATTTACATATTAAAGACGAGACATGAGGACCTATTTATTATAGATATGTTAAAACGATAATTAATAATCTGGGTGGTGTTTAATCCATACAAACGCATTCCTCTGTTTTCTGCCTGCATAATCATCCTGGACTAGGGCAAATATTTTTTACAATACAATATTTATCTACAACTGCCATGTTCCAAGTTACCTTTTTGTTTTAGAAATTATTTATTTTAAAATGAACCTTCTAAAATGACTAAAACTGCCCAGTTGTCGTACTGCTGTTATTAGATTTTCAGTAAGCAAATTACTCGAAAATGAAAATGAAAAAAGGCAAACGTAAATAATACAGCTAAAATCTTTCATACATTGTTCTTGAAAAAATCTACATCAGTTCACTTTTGAAGACGGAAAAATGGGAATACAGAATGATGATTTTGTCAATATTTTATAGGCATTATCAATCAATCCAAACTGCAGTTGCCTCACTCCGCTATCCGGCTCATTAGTTTGGACACAGTGCAAAAGCAATATATTGTTATAAACTTAAATATAGTAATTTTAAACCAGTCATTAACATTACAAAAACTACATATTAACATATTGTAACAAAATTACCTAATAAACATGTACCATCCCATATATAAATGTCCAAAACAACACATATGTGAATAGGGCACCGAAAAATCCGTTTGTTAACAAACTCTGTCTCGATACATAATACTTGTGCCAATTGGGTCCAGTTTTAATCATAAACATTATCCATAAGGTTACAACTGCCAATACGTAAAATGCAAAACCGTACAATCCGGTTAGGCCCAGAACACCTGAAAATTAAAAATAAAATAATCAATCAGTATAATAAATTTAAAATAAATTTAAATTACTTATTTTAAGCTTGATGCTGCTGTATTTCGTTTGGTGAGTGTAGAGAAAGAGAACCGGAGACTCGTTTTACTGGAAAAGAGGCATTCCATTCTTCATTCATTCTTAGTCCTCACGGCTGACAACGCATCTGCATTTTATTCGCAAACGGGGATAAATGTGGACGTCTATGGGCCACAGCAACCACTTATTGTGTGCTGGACTGTGTGCTCGCTTGTCACCCTTATCCTATAAAAAGGAGCAAATGTATGTTTGTTGTTGTATGTTTAAGTGCACATATTTAACCATCTAATTAAAAAATGCCAGCCCCTCCACTAAATATGCATTTTTGAACTTAATTCCCATCATAAAAAGTTTTATTTCTATTGCTACTAAGATAGTTTTAGGACCTTTTCTTTTGAACAGTATTTGATTCGAAAACAGAGTTTATTGTCAAATAATTAAAGTTCACATTTGTATGAATTGCAATAATTTGAAATTCTTCCTGCTCCGCGATCACGCCATAGCTTAAATATTATGTGAGAGGATATAGGTATTTATTTCAATACTAGATTTATGCATGCTCCCAGGTTTATTATACCTATTTAATGTCTGATTGACCAATGTGAATTACTAATTTGTGTGTATTTTTTATGCAATAACGGCTTTAAATGAGCACACAATCAGCTTGATGGTAAGCTGATACTGTGGCCCATAGACATCTAACCACCGTGCCACATTCCCCCCTCCTACTACCTTCCCGATTTTGCGAGTATACTACCACATTCCCTCCTTCCCCTCCCCCTCCCCGATTTTTCGAGGAGCAACATATAGCTAACGTGATGCACCAACGCTCTGGGAAGTCTGCAGTCTGTGGAAACGTTCAAGATCGTCCCTGTCACTACATAAGATTTGATAGACCACAAAGCCTCGCAAAAAAACACCGATTCCTACCAAGAAGATGGACAGGTGCTGCCATCTGCATGGGATCCTATAATTAACAAAATTAAATCCAAACCCAAGCATACCACTGCAAGACTTCAAGATACTGTAAGTTCATTTTGCATAAATCGAACCAAAAATTAGTATTAAAAAACTGAAGGTAGCCGGGCTAACTGTGACATCAGGACGTCAAACATCTCGGGACCGTTTTATTATTCTATATATTATGGTATCGACTTATAAAAATACTAGAGGTTGGCAGGCAGCTTCGCCTGCATCATAGTTAAATAATTTATCCCACAGGTACCCTTTACCGTAAAATTTTATCCCATAGCGTTTCTACAGTTTAATCCTTTTGAGAAGAATTATTCCGTCCAGCATTGTTGTGCCAGCAAGAGTTGATATATGGGTGCCCCATTGAAGCTTTGCATCTAAGGTCACCCCCAGGAACACAGTAAATATGAATCTTATAGGTAATGCCCTCGGAAATGAACTGTATTTCAAGTTAGAAGTTCGCCGCTCTTACCACTGAGTTACCATCGCTAGTATATCTTACATACACTAGCGATGTTAACTATATTAAAATTTAAATATATGAGCCTGTACGTAATAAAACAAACTATTTTCGGTACCGCTTTCTTTTTCAGTCTTTGACAGCCTTGATTATTTGTAAAATTAGTCATTTTCACGGAAATGTTCAGAGCATATCACTATGGTTTTGGATGGTTTTCAGAACGCTTCTCCATGGCTTATTCTTATTATGTCCACCCATCGACTTCTAATTATAGGATCAATAGGTATCCTAAAATCATGTATCCAAATGGTCACATTCAATTTTGACAATTAACATTAAAAATGAACATACATCAGCTTTTAAGACAACTATACGGGGAAATTCGCAATCCCCAAGACTGGCAACACCAAAAAATGACGCGTTGATTTTGTAAATAAAATTATCAATTTATTAGTTTTGTTTTCGTAAATTAATATTAGTTTTGAGTTACCTACCGATGGTAGGGGATTTTGTTAGTTGTTTGTAAGCGTCCTTTGTAATTTCTGCAGATTTTGATCGCGCAATTTATCATTTTCACCAAAATAATTTACCTCAAAAAAAAAATGAGCCGTGCGTGCGTATCTCTTGGCGTTACAATTGACAGTGAGGAGTGGGGAGCGCTTTAGAGGCTAACAGTTAGCTGATATTTTTTTCAACGCTTTTGAGCCGAGTAAATCATCTAAGGGCTCGGCCTGACGGACCGCACTCTCACAGAATACCAGCGTAAAGCATAAAAAAAACAATCTTTGCTAATTATACCCAGAGCAAAATATGAGTATTTTATCAGTTACCTCACAATATCACATGTATGTTACTAAAACTGTATGAAATTCAGTAAATTAGTTGTTTATTTGCAAAAAAGCCTAATATCCCTGCAAAAAGTCAGACAGCTAGATAGTTAAAGTATTTTAATAAGAGAATACATTAATTGTTACTATACATAGCACCAGCCATTCATTCCCTTCTCGTCCTAAAATAATTGCTATTAGTACTGAAAATTTAGGAATGACAACAAACTAATACATTAAAAACATTTTGCCATTTTGTCATAATAGGCCATTATTAATTAAGAGTAATGTTAGTGTTTGCATTTGAAATATTATAAAATAAATTCAATTCAATTTATTTATCTCTTCACAACTTACTGTCTGGTTAACAATATCGATTGTACACAGTAAGGACCTAGAGTTGTGAGAGACTGGTGCCTATTATAGGTTTTATATTAAAAACCTAAATAACCTAAAATAAACAATAATTCATAATGGGAAATTATATTATCTAAATTTATATCTTGTTTATTGTTTGTGTAGTTGTAACTTGTTTAATAATGATAACTTGTGACAATAGTACATACATAGTATACAAACACAGAGAAGGCTTCAACGAATATAATTAATTGATCAAAGTAACTTACCTGTAAATGTTCTTCGATAAAAATTAAAGGGTTGGCTTTAGTAATCTGCGGCATGATTTAAGTGATCGTTTTAGCTTTAGGTGATAGGCTATTGATAATGATGCTATTGATTACCATCTAGCTGTTTTTTATGCCGGAAATCTTTAGTTTTCGAGATATCGATAATTATAGTTTTGAGGTTATATCCATTTAAAAATGATACGAAAACGAAATAACAATATAATTATTAGAAAGAGATAGCAATAGAGCATGGTCTGTATCTGTTTTAAAAAATAACATGCAATTTTAGCTGCCGGGGCTGCGTCAAAATATTTAAAATTATTTTCTAAAAATATTCATAAATCAGTAATTAATACCTGAAACTGAACTTTTGACATTGACAGTCACAGATATACTCAACCAAAGAGAATATAATCACTACGTTTTACGTTTATTTTCGACTTCACGACTCGCGTCATAAGTGTCATTCCGTTACTTCCGAGTTTACGTGAATGTGCTTCTTATTGTTATTATCTGCCTCATGTTTTTCGACGACTTCGCTACCCCTCTGGAGACCGATTGCTTGCTATTTTACGACGTTTTTGGTAATGGTGTAGTAATAAAATATGTTTATTTATTAAAGTAATTATAAAAGTTAATATTTTGGTGTTTTATTTGGTGCAAGAGCGAGCGAAGTGAGCTTGGGACTTGGGGCACCCTGACTCGGACAGGTTAGGTTAGAAGGGGATGGCCGGGTCGCGTGAGCGAGCGAAGCGAGCGAACAGACCTCTCCATCATCTTTGTGGTTATTTTTTTATAAACCACCCAGAAATAGGCGCCTCGCAAAGCGGGGTTCCGTCGACCAAGCTTCCCTCTACTGCGCCACATTGAGTAGCGTTGGGCTACCCTCCCCCAACTCTCTTCCCCCACAAATCAGGTTTATATTATCAAAACCATCTCGAAAACATAACCTCAAAATGATATTTTTAAAAATTTATAAAAAAAAAAACACTAAGCAAGTCCGGCAGGAAATGGAAGTGGGGGGTGACTACAACTCCCCCCTCCCCTCCCTCGCCCACTCGGCGACCATATATACATGCTGCAGATTACTATAAAAATACCAAATTAAATGAAGTTGATGCCTCCTCTGTGTACAATCATACCCTGCGGTATATAATTACCCACCCTTAGTAATTACTTGCATTTTAATTATTTTTTCCTAATTCTAGAGGATATAAATTCACAATGACATGAGGTGTATAGTGTCGCCAGTGGGAGCTGATATACCTATATCAAGAGATAAGATTTTTCCTGGTATTCCCACCTGGGAATTAGTATACATACACAGAGGCGTCAACGAATATAATTTTGATCGAAGGACACTTACAGATAAGTTACTTTGAGCAATTAATTATTATTTATATTATTAATTTTATTCAATCTCGAACAAGGGTTTATAAGCTTCAACATAGCTGATTAATCAGGTTCTGCTTTAGCTTCGGCCAGAAATTGACCTATGGTCGGACACTACTTTTAACCAATATATTTTGGCCAAAATCTCTTTTTACTAATATTTTTTAGTCAAAGGTTAAAGTATAAGACTAAAGAAGTTTAGGCAAATGTAGTTTTTTTGGTTTGGCAAATATATTAACTGTTTTTGGAAATACTTTGAACTATAACATATATGTTTTTATTTATCTAGTGCAATATCAGTTATTTATAATTTCAATTGCTAAAAAGTATAAGTGCTCATAAAGTACAAAACAACAAACAAAACTTACTAAAACAAAATGCAACATCCCAAATATGTGTGCTTACATCTAAAAACCAATGTTATTTGAGGAAAATCTATATTTAATTCTACATTTCCCCGAAACTATGAGTTTCCGAGAGCTGAAACTTTCTATATGTAAATTTATTAAAATAGTACTTTCTTTTTACTTACTTTATTAAAACAGTAGTCATTTCTAAGTGTTAACTCCGGATGGTTAATCTATACGTGTGTCTAGCCACTTACCATAAGGTGTACTGTAGTGTAATTTGAGTGTCAATTTTATTTTAAAAAATGCAATAAATCAAGTCAATTCTATGTTTACACTTCTATTACCTGCAGTAGATCCCGATAAAGCAGCCATTGAAGTTCTGCAATATTCAACCACTGCCGCATTATTTCTCAGTGCGGCCTCGCTGTATGCTATTGGTTCGGGTTTGTTGTCTTTTGATTTAGCAATCCCTGACATCTTTTAGATATGATATGGTTCAAATAAGCCTGGAAAGAAAAAGAGACTGATAAGAAAAAAGATTAAAAAGTATACTAATACTAATATATTCCATAATACCAACGTTTAAATACAACGTAGTCTGAGATACCCACCAATCAAGCTCAATAAAGAGTAGTATATTATTATTATCCTTGAAACCAAGTAAGCAAAGCAATTGCTACATAAATTACTATTAGTACACCTTAAGATACTTTTAAATCCTAGCCACGAACTTACTACAAACACCAGCAAAAACAATTCAAAAATCAGTATTCAATTTAGCATTGATGAAGGAATCATAATTTTGACTTTTGACGACAATGATTTATGCCAAACCAAAGATAGACACTACCATAGACTAATATATAATCTACATTGTAGTCTTTGGACACTATGCTTGTCACAATTTTTTTTATAACTGGTTTTACAGCTCTTGGTTCTAGCCTTTCTAAGCCTGAAGTTACAATGTATAATTATCCTTTATAGTACAATCCCTCACAATACTATGTTGATACATCACATTGTGCAGCCGTTGGGAGATTTTGACGGCTACTTGAGCCACCAGATAACTGACATTTGGCGATGGTATCTCGAGGTGCCTAAGCAGACAGACACCTTACTTTGAGAATCACATCACCATCAGAGCACTTGTTTCACTGTTTCCAGTCATATTTCACATGCGCAGACACTTAATACACAAAATCGCACCACTTTGACATATCAAAATCCACTTCAAACCATTATTTAAACAATTATACAAGAGCAGCAATCCTCCATCGTTCAAGTTCACGCCAAAATTCCTGTTTGTGCCTGTTTGTGTCAAACGTTAGTATGAACCACAGATAACTATATTATAAGAACTATGAATCTTAATAGTCTGTATATGAACATGCACCTTAGAGCTTAGAATAAGTATTATTGGTTAATATTAGTAAATAGGTGATGTATTAATGTAATAGAAATTTCATAAATGACTTACATTAAATGTTGCAAAATGGTACGTTAATATTTTTTTCCGTTTCCTTCCCTTTCCAAACCCCATACACAATGACCTCTATACACTGACCTCTATATATGGACTGGCTATAGGTACACCGTGACGTAATGAGGCGATTTGATTTTTGCCATTTTGGCGCTAACAGCAGAAGTGAACGTCCAAGGAACTAATAATAGAGATAAGACAGTGTGACAAAACATATCGCTAAAAATTCTATACCCAGGCCTACCTGTAAAGTCCATTCTATTTATGAATCATATTAATATAATGCCATACAATAAATAAATGTATCAATTAATACCTAGGCCTTAGATGCAAACTTTATACCTCATATAAAACTAAGATCGACGCTGCGTTGGTGTATCTACGTTTTTATTCGTAACTAGAGAACGGATTTTGTTCCGGGTTTCAAATGAGGAAATGCTTCATCAGACATAGGGAATATGATCTTTACCAGGAAAGGTCATAAAATCATAGGGTCGAATTTAGGGAATATGTAAAAAAATATTCAAAAATATTCAAAAGTGTGCTCCACAGCCAAGTCTTTGCATTTGAGCAACAAAATTAAGACGGCTTCTCATAAAATTAAAATGACATGGAGTATAATTAATAGCGAGACTGGTAAGATCAACTATCGCAATTCAAACTACCAGTTAAGTATTAACAACAAATTAACTGAATCAGCACGTTGCAATCGTTTTTGAAAAATATTTTACTGATATTCCGATATTAATCACGAAGTCATTGAATTCTTAATGATTTCTTATATTTACGCGAACACTACATATTTTTAAATAAAACTAATTTTACGGATTTTATCGCGTATATTAATGTATTTTTTTTTTATTTTTTATATTCCCGACGTTTCGTTGAATTCTTCTCCTGCCGTCACCGAATCATTACTTAAACAAAATGTAAATGCGTGTACAAAGAATTTTACATTTCATAAAGTATCATCAAAAGATATTGTAAAATATTTTAAAACTATTGATGTTAAGAAAACTGCGGATCAGTGGGGGAATTCCGCTAAAGTTATTGCGTCTATAATAGATACAATCGCACCTCATTCAGCTATTATTTTAATACTAGTATCGAATCTGGTGTGTTTCCTGATTTAATGAAGCATAGTAAAGTAATACCTTTATTTAAATCTGGTAGAACATTAGACCCCGCCAATTATAGACCTATTTATGTACTACTAACAATTAGTAAGATTTTTGAAAAAAATATTCTTGATCAAATGTTAAATTTCTTTAATATAAATAATTTACTTCATAAAAATAAATTTGGTTTCACAAGGGATCGTTCGACAACTGATGCCGGTGTTGAGCTGATTAAATATATCTTTAATGCATTGGAGAATTCACAGCATGCTTTGGGTATATTTTGTGACCTATCCAAGGTCTTCAATTGTGTTCACCATGAAACATTAATCAAAATTTCACCAAAAAACATTAATTAAAACTTCAACACTACGGTGTAAGAAGTGATGCTCTTAAATTAATTATTTCATATTTAAGTAAGAGAATGCAAAAAGTTGTCATTAACAGTATGAACTCTTCCGGGTCGATGGTACAAATGGGCGTGCCTCAAGGCTCAATTCTTGGCCCCTTTCTGTTTCTTATGTACATTAATGACTTACCTTACATAGTAGGGGATAACCATGATATAGTATTGTGTGCAGATGACACTTCTTTAATTTTCAAATTAAGTCGACAATTACTAAAATATGACGAAGTAAATAATGCTATATCTAAATTATTAAATTGGTTCAATGTTAATAATTAGCATTTAAATGGCACTGAAACGAAATGTATGAAATTCATGACTCCAAATGTCAAACAATTAAATACTAATGTAATTTTAAAAGGGGAGAAACTGAGTCTTGTAAATACCACCATTTTTCTTGGAATCACACTAGACGCGAAGCTTCAATGGAGCCCCCATGTATCAAAACTAGCAAGCAGACGTAGTTCTGCAGCATATGCTGTAATAAAGATTAGAAGTCTTACCAGTGTTGAAACAGCTAGACTAGTTTACTTTAGCTATTTCCATAGCATAATGTCGTATGGTATTTTACCATGGGGACACGCAGCTGACACTGAAATTATATTTGTTTTACAGAAGAGGGCCATAAGAGCAATTTATGATTTAAAGCCTAAAGAGTCGCTGCGACAAAAATTTAAGGAAAATAATATATTAACTTTGGCCTCTCAATACATTTATGAAAATGTAATGTACGTACACAAAAATAAAAGTAGTTTTACAAAAATAAATGATATTCATTCTGTAAATACTAAGAACAGACACAAGCTAGAAGTACCAGTTACTCGACTCCATCGAGTCAATAATTCATTCTTGGGGCGATGTATACGCTTTTACAACAAAATTCCAGAAAATATACAAAATTTGACCTGCTCAAAGTTCAAAAACTTTATTAAACTAAGTTTGTATAAAGAGGGTTATTATAATATTAAAGAATTTATGGATGATAATAACCCCTGTAAATGAGGTGATCGCTACCAAGCTATTTCTAATTTGTTGTGTTGCTAATTTGTGTAACAAACATGATAGTAAGAAGAAGATTGAAACCCAGCAGGACTTTTTTTATAATAACTTTTAATAAAAGTCCCGCTGGGTTTCTTGCTGGTTCTTCCCAGGACAGAAGTTTTTTTCGAACCAGTGGTAACTAAACAAAAGAGTGACTTTCAATAACTATTATTTATAATCTATATTGAATAAAAAAGTTTCTGTTTCTGTTTCTTCGCGGGGGCAAGAACGAATTATGTCGAACTCGGACTTACTAAAACCTCATGGTGTTCCACCCGCGCCGCACATTGGCAGGACTACGGAAACTCCTTCAAACACATCCGCGGCCCCACCAGCGCCAGCCGCCCGCAGCTCCTCCTTACTTGAGGACTTTTCCTCCCCCTTTTCTTCTCAGATAAGGCACACCCGGAACACTGCCCTTCGCGACCTCTAACTCCACCTGCACAACAGACTCTCCCAGCATCAAGTAGGGTAGCCCCGCCAAAGTCGCGGAGGGTAGTCGAATGGTTCATTGCTGCAACGATATAGGGAGAGGACTCTCCTCTAGTCGCAGCCCATTAACACATATCCAAGGGCTCGACAAGCCCACTCAGAGTGGCCTCCTTGGGCCAGCCCTTCACTTCGGGCCAGCTATGTGAGTCGTCCTACGTTTACCATTGGTTACTAAGCCACAGCTACTAACCCCCCCCCCCTGCAACAACAAGGCGGGAACCCATTTAGGGAGGAACTATTTCTCTTCTTAACTCATGTAAGCTCACTAAGGACATTAATAATTTTGCCATTATAAATTTAACGACCTTGTATCTTCTCTTCGTGCTCAGCAAAATTGGCTATCTGCGCTGACGGTTAGGCAGCCGCCTATGATATTATTATATATTATAATATAATATTATATTTCATCATTTGTTGTTATCGATAATTGCCTTGCGCCAAAAAAAAAAGAAAAGAAACACGTTGAATATACCTATTTTGAACTGGTTTAATTTTATTAATTATAGAAAGATAGAATCCAAAGCAGATGGCAGCACCCATCCATCTTCTCTATTGAAATTAGCCTCACGTATGGTACGTGAGGCTAATTTCAATAGATATATAGAATACCTTGGCAGGAAACGATATTCTTTTGCGAGGATTTGTGGTCCATAAAGTCTGATGTAATGGCGGGGCCATTATTGGTGTTTCACGTCAGCTATGTGTTCTTTTACGCGGGTTTTAATATATATATGTTACGGCCCCCAGTTGCCCAGACAGATGTCGACTGTATTAGGGCCCATGAGTAACACTTTCGACGGGCAACCGAGGGTTCGGGCCCGAATGGCCTATGGATACGTATAATGTAGTGGCTGGTTAAGCAGACACAAACTTACCGAGTTCGGGAGGCAGGGTCGACCATATGGCGCAGTCAGGTGGTAAGTAAGGTGTATGTAAGTAG